AATAATCCAGTTTTTATTACTAATTATCCAGCCGATTTAAAGGCTTTTTACATGAAAGGCGGAACCTTACCGGAGGTGGTGGAATTTAAAAGTATTATCAAGGTGGCGTCAGCGTCACGGACATTTAATTTGGTTCTTTCTTCGTATTCAGAAGTTTTTGTTTCAATGAGTGGATATTTTTCTGGGATTTTTCCTCCCCCTTCTCAACGTCGTTCTTTTGGACACCAACCGGTAATATTGAGAACAAAAGACTCGCTTGTCTTTTCGTTATAATCAAGAGCAGCATCCAAGGCTCCTTGATCGACTCCTGTTTGACCTCCTGATCTGATAGTGAATTTAGACAAAGGAGAAAATGGCAATTTGGCATCAAAATATTTCGGAATCTCTACTCCTAGAGCTTTAAGAATAATAGCCGCACAGTCCATATTAACTACTTTTCCTTCAATTTTCGAGTTGGGAGTGATTCCTGGATCGCAAACGGCTAAAAATACATTCATTTCATCGTCACTACTTCCACCATGCCTGCCTTGTGTAGTTCCATCATCTTTAGTTTGATTAATACCACCGTGGTCGGTAGTCATTATTATTAAAGTGTCATCTTTTCATCCTACTTGTTCAACTGTTTCGAGAATTCTGTCAATTTGTGAATCCATGGTTTTAATTTGTTCTAGATGTTGCGACGTACCATAACCCCAATGATGGCCATGTTCATCGGCATCAGTAAAATGAATGAATAATAATTTTGTGTCTTTATTCTCATCATTTTTAATGTATTCAACTACTCGAGTAACTACATCTTTGTCATAGATGGAACTTTTGTCTTGATAGTGCTTATCTAATTCTTTTTGTCTTGTTTCACTTTCATTGATTAGAGGAGCATAGCGATGTACTGGTACTGAAAGTTCAATCATGCCAGTATTGATAGGCCATCAACCAGCAAAAGAAGCCATTTTGGCTCCAGGAAACTCTGTGGCAATCAATTTGAAAAGACTGGGAAAAGAACTGTTTTCTGGATATGAATCGCCGGTTTCCAATTCTTCGTGTTTTAACCGGTGCTTGTTCTTTTCTGGTTTAACTCCAGTTAATATTGAACTCCAGTTTTCAGCACTATCAGTTGGAAAAATCGCTCGGGCTTTCAAGGTACTAGCCCCTGAAGCCAAAAAATTGTCTATGGTTGGTGTGTTGGCTTGTTGAAAAAAGCGACCAATTCCATCCAGACCAAAAATTATTACTCTTTTAACTTTTGAAATGTTTTTCATATTTGTTTTTATTATGCTATAAATTTATACAAGGCTATATAATCTATTTTACGAAAAAAATTTTTTAGAACAAGTCGTCCCAGTTTTTTTTATTTCAACAAATAATTATCTCCTTTTCTAATCCTTTCACCATGTTTGATTAGTTTGCCAGTGGTAATATCAAATTCATTTATTGCTTTATGATGATCGTTAGTTAGTTTAAGTATTTTTTGCCATCTATCTCGAAATCGACCAAAATCTTCTCAAAATTTATCTAAGTCTGATATTATCTTGTCTACATTTTTGTACTGTTCTCAAGTTTTGTTTGCCCAAAGGATTTGGTTAATAACCACAGCAAGAAGCATAGGGGAACAAATGGTTACCTTTTTTTCCAACGCTAACTCGATAATCTCATAAAAACTATTCTCGTTAATTTTGGCGAAAACCACTTCAGACGGAACAAACATGATAGCGTGATCTATGCCGTCCAAATCTGAGATGTATTCAGCAACTTTTTTAACCCAAGTTAGCAAGAAGTCCCCCATCCTCTTTTAGGTGGTGGGATGAATTGCTAAAATATAACATAT